TGCTGAGCATCTAAAATGTTCATGTTGATGTTCACTGAACTCTCCAGTTCAGTGAAGGCAGATCAGTGTGGTGTGTCCCTGAAGGGTGTTAATCCATGGAGTAACTGAGTTGTAGACAAAGAGGGATTAGAGATGTTAATGTATCCTCACATCCCAAACAATTTCGTTTTGAATTGAAATTTAATTGTGTTTTGTTGTACTTAAGTGTATCAGTGATGTTCCAAATGCACTATTAATCTGACTATTAATTAGAAAAGTTCTTTCTAAAACATAACATTCATGGATAAATTCTCTTAAATTGTGATAGGTATTGTATAAATATCTTAAAAGTTCTATATTTCTATTTTCTGTCCCTCAGGAAAGAAGTAGTTGGGTTAATTAAAATTACATATTTTATTGTATATGACATGAATGATGTGGTATGTTCTTGGATCTAAGAGAGAACACTGAATCTAAAATACCTACTAGATTTAAGGATATCCATTGTGCTGTAAAATGCAGAGTGATTCATCGTCCATCGCTCTATCTAAATGTCAAATGTAAAGTGAGTCAAATGTAAGTGAACTTGGATTGTCTGTACAATCAGTTCTGGAAAGACACAGCTCCAGGAGCTGAAATATGACAGGAAGAGATCAGGCTTGATCAGAGATGGCCTTTTCTGGCCTTGAAATCCATTAAAACGATGAGAACAGTGGTCATTCTCCCACAGATGGAGAACAAAGTCCCAGCTGCCAGTGGAAGAGGACATGAGTTTAGGAGACACAGTAGTAAAGATTTAGAAAAAAGGTATTAAGGAAAGGGAAGACTAAACAGCCATTTGTGTGAAGTTTTTAGAATGCTGAATAGAATTTTTAGTGCATATTTTAATGCATATTTTAGAATTCTGAATATGATTTTAATGCATATTTTAATGCATATATTAATAAAGATTTATATTTAGTAAGTATGCAGAATGAAAATGCTCTACAGATTACTTCCCACATTGTGATAATGTCAAACAAAGGTTAATACTGAAATGAACATGTTCAGTTATAGAGACTGGATTTTAAAGAACTGTAAACAAAAGACTGTTTTAAGAGATGTGGTATATAATCAGTGGACAAATAAGGTAGGAGAATATAGACAGTGAGAAACCAACCATCCAAGACCAGATTAAGGTCATTATTCTTAAAATTTGACTGTTCACATATATACTGAGATGGAAAGTGAGTGATCCTACTCTATTTGGTGAATTTCTAGACTAATCCAAGGGGGATGAAACTGCAGATCTTTGCATCCTGAAGGGTTTGCTTTTGTTTCTTAACAAGACAACATCCATGATGAAAGGATTAAAAACCTGCTTATATAATTTAAATATACTATATTAACAGCTGTGGGTTGTTTAAAGCTACCATATTTAGTCTTTTATAAGGAATCTGCAACTCAGTTTGGGTCTATATATTATAATTTTGGATAGCTTCGTAACAGTGCTTTTGCTCTGATTATGAGGACAGCACTCTAAAATACTTCCATTATGTCATGGATCAGTTGTTCTGTCTTTTTAATCTTGGGCATGTAGAACAAAAGGAAAAATCTGAAAGAAATGGATTAATTGGACTGTAGCTTTATTAATTTCTTCCATTTGAGACCTGTTCAGGAGTGGTGCATGCAATCAATTTGTCATTGTTCTGGTAATTATATCCAGGTGTTTGGTGTTTTGTCAGCATTCCCTACTGATCACAGCTGTTCTCTAGATTGCTGCTCTGTGCCCATCTTCTATCTCTTAATAAACACTTCAAGGCTTTGGAAAAAATGACATTTCTTCTGTCCATTAACCATTGAAATCCTAGGTTCAATCCTTTCCTTACAGGTCGATGTTTTACATTAAGTCTGCTCATGAAATTCCAGTAGCCCTTTTTTGGAGACCCTTGCAATCATCTGTTTATAGATTTTTGCACTTATTAAGCTCTGAGGACACGAGGGATTGTTGGGTGTCCTGTGTAGGGCCAGGAGCTGGACTCAGTGATCCCTACAGTTCCAACCCAGGATATTCTGGGATTCCATGGGTATTTCTCATAGCTGCAAATGGTCCTAGAAACCTGCAGTTCTTATCATTTGTACTCCAGAAGCAGAATTGTTTCGTGGGACTGCTGTAATGATTATAGAAATGGATATTGTGTACAATTAGAAGTGACTGAAGTACTGCCTTTAATCTGTCAGGACTCCTCACAAAAATGCACAAAGCCAAAAAAGGAGCAATAGGGATAACAGTTGAAGAAGAACACAGTGAAAGTGAAGGACAAATGGGGCATGAGAAGAAATGGATTTAAATTATCTACAAATACAGGCAGTATGGCATTAAAGTGACTCTAATGGAAAGAACCTGTCAGATTCTGGAGTTCATTTTGGAGTGGGTTTCCCACTTCTCATAGGATTAATTGGGGTTAAATGTCTGAGCTGTTTCTAAGATGGAAGCTTGATAAGTTTATGAGTGTAGCTATTATCATATTAAGATTATTATTAATTATATTATCACTCGACTGACTGCAGTGGCAAGGAAACAGACCTGATGACTTCAGATGTCTCTGTTTCTTGTGTTGACTCAATTTTCACTGAAAATAATTTAATATAGATTACAGAACAACTTGAAATGAATTTGGAAAGAAATTAATAACTAAATGTAGGGTTGACTTTTTCCAGATAAAAAGGTTTCTCTAAAAAAATAATTGGGCTAGCTGAAGCTCCACTGTTACCTTTAGCCTAAGAGTAATTTGATATCAGTGCTGTAAAAGGATTAAAATATGTTAATTGGCACTGAGACAGACGAGCCTTCTTCCCCATAACTGTTAATTTCTTTGGTTATTAGATTCTAAATTATGAACTACTAGATCTTGTTAAGTTTTAAACAACCTGCTGTGAACTTTTATACTCATACTTTTTTTTTTGTTTGCTTATTTGATTATGTCTATTTAATAATTTTATTTTAATTATTGTGGAGATTTATTTCACCTAATGTGAGATTTCTAAGGTTAGATATCTAATCCAGACTCTTTCAGTCGTTTTTTGGTCTTGTTTGTTTTTCTTTCCTTTTGACCCTCGCTGCATTTTTCCTCTGCCCTTGACTGTTGATTTTCAAATCTTTTTGCTAGGGACATCTCCTCAGATGTTAAGTCTAAGAAGATGATTTTTCTTCTTGCTTTCTTGGTGCCACTGGCCAATTACCAAATATTATTTATTTCTTTCATAGTCCAATATAAATATTTATCTGAAGCTACACACTGCTAATTTGTCAGAAGACAGTAAAATCTCTTTAGCACCAAATTGGAAATGAAACAATTTGCAGACATCTGATTCCAAAATCCAAAGCTTGCTTTGGCTGCCATTTCAGCTTGGATTTCTCTAAAATGCAGCACTTTCACTCTAAAAGAATTTTGCTGCTGGATGCTTGTAATCACTTCCATCTCATCTGAATCCTACTTAGATCTTAAATAAGGGAAAGTCTTGCTGGAATTTCCTGTGGTTGTTTGTGTCCCCTTGGGTTCAATCAGCTCAATATCCTCCAAGAGTGCATTTTGGAGCAAACTCTCTACACAAAGCTGGGATTGTTGGTTTCCCTCCATAAATAATTGAAGGGAAGATGATGCCTTACAATGTTACACTGGTTAGATGAAGCCAGTCCTGCACTGGGATCTAATTCTCAGTTAGGAAACTCACATCTAACCCTTGCTCACATGCTGAGCTCTCAGCTGTTCTGTGGTTGCTCTCAGTATCTCTTTTTACATGAAATATTTGAGTAATTGACTCCTAATAATAATAATAACAAAGAAGTTTCATTCTCAGTTATTTGCACATTCTCAGGCAAAAGTTGTAGATAAATTGTTCAAACAACTGTTTGAATTAAAGTATATGTTAGAAAAATCTTTCTAGCAGCATCAGAATTCATTGCTGCTAGTTTCAGTGATTTGGGGCACACAGGTAAAATGCATGGGAAGGTAGGGACACCATAACTGTGGTCCTCCTCCAGAAACCTTGTTTTCTCTTTTACCTTGAATTTCAGCTCTGTGATACTGAGCAATATAGCATTTAAGTATGTTTGGAAATTTGGTTTGTTCTCTTTTTATCTAGCAATGATTGTTTGTTAATTGTCTCCTAAGAAATTTGTAGAGTTTTGCCAGCCTTATGGAAAGCTAAGAGGAGTGTGTAGCCTTAGAAATGAGCCACTTGAATTGTATTTTGAAATTGCATATTATCAGCTTATCATCCAAGATACACTGCTTTCAAATTATAATTTGAACACGCAGTCCTAATGGTAAATATAATAAGGAAAGGAGTTCTGATGGGAATTAATCACTGTGCCCATCTTAAATCTCTCCCCAACTATTTCCATTGTCTTATGGGAAGTTTTGCCATCTGGGATTTTTTTTTTAATGTTGTTGTAATAAGCAATGTAAATATGCTTTGATTTCACATGAGAAGTACTTTCTTTTTGAGATTCTCCACTGGAGACAAATAGGATTTTAATATAAAATCTGTGAATCATAGCCAGGCTGGGAGCGGTGGGGTTGTTCAGTCTGGAGAAGAGAAGGCTCCAGGGAGACCTTCCAGTGCTTAAAGGGACTCCAGAAGTGCTGGAGAGGGACTTGGGACAAGGCATGGAGTGACAGGACCAGGGGAATGGCTTCAAACTGCCAGGGTGCAAGGTTAGGTGAGAGATTGGGGAGGAATTGTTCCCTTTGAGGGTGGAGAGGCCCTGGCACAGGGTGCCCAGAGAAGCTGTGGCTGCCCCTGGATCCCTGGAAGTGTCCAAGGCCAGGCTGGATGGGGCTTGGATTGCCCTGGGACAATGGAAGGTGTCCCTGGGGTGGAACTAGATGGGCTTTAAGTCCCCTTCCAACCCAAGCGTGTTGTAGTTCTCTGATTTTTTTTTCCCCCAACAGTACTTAGTGAGCTATTTATACCTTCTGGAAGACAAACCCCACGAGGCTGAAGGCTAACCTGAGCAATGTCTGTGTCCCTCCCAGGAGAAACGATGCGCATCGCCTCGTCGGAGTTCGCGGACGACCCCTGCTCGTCGGTGAAGAGGGGCACCATGGTGCGCGCCGCCCGCGCCCTGCTCTCGGCCGTCACACGCCTGCTCATCCTGGCTGACATGGCTGATGTCATGAGGCTCCTCTCACACCTCAAAATCGTAGGTGTTTCTCACCTTCTCTCTTGGGTTTGTGTGCTTTGAGCGTGGAAAAACGGGATGAATCGGTTAGGAAGGGAACTGTCCGCGTTCCTTACGCTCCACTTGGTTCTCTTAAAGTGCTGAGCAGAGGCAGGAGTTAACACATTTCTGCATTTGTCTCATTCGTTTTCTAATTCTGCAGAAATTAATATTTGAACTCTTAAAGCAGAATTGGTGAGGTGTCTTCAGTGACCAGACTAATAAACAGCTCTCTGACCTGAAGCATTTGCTCCCCTCACTTCTTATCCCAGTTACTTTCCCTGGATTTTTGTTTCCTCGCACAGTTTAGGTACTATAATTGTCTGCTCTTCTTTTTTTTCTCCTTGTGACTTCTAAATATATCTTAAAAATCGAATGCTTAATTTGGAGAGATCCAAATCAAAGATGTGTCTAATTAAGGAATAAAGAGGAATTAAAGATTACCAGATAGTTTGGACAGATTTATATTCACTTTTGACTGCCACCATTCCCATTTTTATACAGGAGTATTAAAAAGATTTTCAGTTGAAACTAGGAAATGTATTTTTCCACCCTCACTAGTTGTTGCACTGCTACATTTTTATTGCTGAAAGAAATCATCAAAAACCTCTGAAACAAAACAAAATTGTGCAGAAAATCACATACAGAATATTTAAAGCCTGCAGAGGGCATGTGTCAGTTTAACAGAGGAGATGGAGAGTTGCTTCTTTTTAGCAACTGTTCCAAAAGTATTTCCTTTTTTTTCTCTCCTTGTAAAATTTTTTTTAATTTTTCTTTTTGACAGTGTAACTGTACAACAATCTCATGTTCTAGAAAAACAGTGAGAACCCTTCAATTTGCAAACTGTGCAGATAACCTGAATAGCTGGAAAACAGTTTTCATAAGGAAAGAAGCCGATTTTTCGGCACAGGTTCTAGTGAGCTCTGCTTTAATGAATAAAATGCTGCTCTCAGAATTGTCAGCACATGGCTCTGGTTACGTGCAGTGTAAGCAGTGTCTCTCTCCAATATGCTTTTAATTTTTTCCTCTCTATAATGCTCCATCTAACTGTAATTCAGATTGTCCTTTCCTAGCAAGGCCAACACTTGAATGTCATAAACAACTGTTTTTTTCCTGAACATTATGATGAAAATTTGTATTCAAGCTCTTTCATAGGCAATGAGAAATTCTGTTCTCCCATCTGAGATTTCTTTTGCAGCAGAGTACTCTGTTATGTAAAATATAAATGTCCAATGCTGGTTTGTAAGTGGGTGTATTTACTTACACAATCTTCACCTTAGATTTGCAAGGGCCGTGTCTGGCAGTGTGGTTAGTAATCTCTGCATTTATCTAATGGTATTGCAAATGCTGTTTCAGAAGTCAGAGATCTCTGGTTGTTTTCAGCAAAATTCAACATAAAGACCTTAACTGTGACTTTTCATGTTAAAAAGGGTAATTTATTTTTGAGAATTAAACATGTAAATATCCTTACTTTACCGCTTTACAATGCTAACTGCTTTTAGACAAATGGGTTTACTAGGGGAGAAAGTGGTTATACTATACAAAATTGATGAAGGCACAGCTCTTCTATTGACTTAAAGGTAACCTTCAAAGACTTGTGTAAGTTACCCATAAAATTAATGAACTAAAATAATTCTACATGTCAGGGTAATGAAGTCTGATTTATGCTGAATTGTGCTGTAATCAGTTTTCTCTGAAAGCATGTCAAAGGCTTCCCAGGAAATGGTGCATTTTAATTAGTATTTTAGAGGGAATATATGCAGGTGCTTTCTGGAAGGACTCTTGGTCATTGCATTCAGGTTATCTTTTGCACTGCTAAAATTAGAAATAATGGTTACTGCAGAAGTTTCTGTAACACATTAAAACCCCATATACCATTATAGTATGTGGTCATGCACGCAGAGAATTATAGATCTATTGTAATTTACTCCAGGCTAGTTAATCATAGGAACAGATCAGTTGAGTGTTTTCTCAAGGATGGAGAACTCACTCCATTATGAATTTGTAAAAAAGAAGTTGTAATCATAAAAACATCATTAAAAAGGAGCTCGTGCTCCTGTCCTTTCTAGTGTTTCTCGTAACTGATTTCTTCATTTTGGAATCTGTGGTCTTGGGCCTTGACTGACGTGATAGAGTACGATCATCTTCCTTTGAAATCTGATTATCACAGTGGAATCTCTGACTAATTTTTCAGGAATTCTATTTAACATGGAACAGGACTTAGAAAAATGTGTATCAGTTTGTCATGCCTGTGGTTGGCATTACAAACATAATAAAGATGAAACTTTCAGGTATTTTAATGTAAATGTTTCTGGATAGAAAAGGAAAATGTGTGTATTTTGCAATAAGTTCTGCAAAAGCAAATTATTTAATACACTGGTGCTTTTGCAATTTGTGTTAATGGTAAGGCAATCAGTTCATTTTTTAAAAACTCTCTTTTCCTTAAGAGTAAAAGAAGAGCTAACTGGGATTCTGAATAAGCTTGTAGCTTGTAAATTGGCAGAACTTGGTTTATGATTTCCAAGGTAACAGCTATGAATTTATGTTCCTGAATTATGCATTTTCCAATAGAAATGTATGAGTTTGCTACTCTACTGCCCTGTAATTTGTAAATCTGCAGTAAGTAGGTAAAAGCTCAAAATGAAAATATACTCTGTCAGTGGTAGGAAAACACAGACCAACTCGAGCAATAAAAAGACAGGTTCTGCACATAATTGTGCCTTTCTAAACTATTAGACACCAGCTACTGCTGAACTGATTGATTCCCAGCAGTGCCTGGAGAGCTCCAAACCTCTGCTCGTGCACAGGAGCTTGTCCCCATCCCTAAAAGCCCTTGCCTTTTGAGGGGAATATTTGTTATGCATGTTCTTAGGAACTGCAGCTTTTAGCTGAACAATAGGTTTTAGCAGGAAGGATCTGTAGCATCTTCTCAGTTCTCAATGTTTTTGCTTGGAATTGCATTTTTATGTTGTGAGCGAGAGAAGTACAACTTCGAATTCCTATTTAGTCACAGTAATGTTTCCTTTATTTATTGCATGAAAAGAGCATTTTATCCTTTCAGATAGTTTTTCTTGCTTTGCATTAGATAAAGGTTCACAATACATTTGGTGGATCAACCTGTTGGTATCACAGGGGTTTTGTATCAGTCTGGTAGCTGCAGCATCACTGGATAAGTGCAGGTGTGGTTTTTTTGGGTACATTCTTTTCTCAGTGTTAAATAACTAAAAGAAAGCTGAGAGCTGAGAAAAGAAATAATATGAATATTTGGGTTGAATTTGCTTCACAAAGATAGAGTGTTTTGGATTTATCAGGGTTAAATTAAGCCTTAATGGTAAATTTGAATTTCCTTTTTAAATATTTCTTATCCAGAAGTGATAACATGACTTTTTTTTCTTATAAAGCTGGTACCACACGTTATAAACATATTCATGTATTTTGTTTTAAACCCCTCAGTATTTCCCTAAGTATTTCATCTGATAAGTGTAAGCAGGGAAATTAATACAGTGGCATCTTTGACATTAGTTTTACATGATCCCAAAGCATAGTAAGAGGACAGTAATGCAGAGTGACAGCTGCTCTATTAAAAACTTAATTGAAGTTCATGGGACTCTCATAAAGCTTCTGTACAATGATGAATGTGAAACCTAAATTGGGTCCATGTAAGACAGAGTATTGGGTGGAATAGTCACAGGCTTTGTCAAAGAGTGGATTAAAATGCTGACAGAGCTGATTTATTGTGTTGTAGGTAGAGGAGGCACTAGAAGCTGTGAAAAATGCAACGAATGAGCAAGATTTAGCCAATCGCTTTAAGGAATTTGGGAAGGAAATGGTAAAACTGAACTATGTGGCTGCGAGGCGGCAGCAGGTGAGTACAGGAGTGGTTGGAAAAATCCATCTTCATTCTAAAGTTCTTGTGTTTCATGTCCAAGTCTGATTTAAAATGTGCAATGGACCATTAATTGCTATGTCATGGCCTATAATTTAATCACACTGATTATTTTTGAATGTGATGACGTTTTTCAGAAGTGCCATTTCTTTAAGAGTACCTTCCAAGAGGCTTCAATTAATAACAGATTGAAGGGTGAAAAGGGAAGTGATTCAGGAGGTTAAAGATAGTTTTAATTTGATGATTATTCCCATTTAATTCTAACCTATGCAGATTTCAGGTCACTCTGACAGCTGGTAAAGCATAAGCTCTTTGCTAGTTCAGTATAACTTAAATTCAGGAGGAACAGAAATCTACTTCGTGTTTAAAACCATTATTAATAATTTTCAGATTTTTTATTTGAAAAAAATATTCATGTATTAATTTATTCATTACTAAGGCAGCTGAAAAAGAGACCAGAAAGTCACATTTATTCAAGGCCAGTCATTGTACAGCTTTGCAAAAAAAGGTAACTTTCCCCTGAACCCTGTTCTTTTCAAGACACTTTAGAGTTGTTTAAAGTCTCTCCAACTTCTGTTATATTTAAATACCACCAATAATTCAAGGATCTTTGTACTTCATTGCACTGGATTTGGAAAGCTGGCTTTCCATATTCATCCACCTGTTTCCCTTAGTTTTTGAATTACAGCAATGACAGTTTCCTTCTGAATCATGATTGTGGGGCTTTTTTATGAAAAAGAGCATTTTCAGAGTTATGCTGGAATTGAATCATGGAATATCTCAAGTTGGAATAGACCTGTAAGGATTATCAAGCCCATCTCCCTTCTCCTTGTAAGACTACAGGAATGCAAACCATCTGACTAAGGCAAATAAATGCAAAATGCAGAATCTAATCACTATATGGAGAGTGCTCTTCTGTACATTCAGACACTTCCCCTGTGGAAATAGAGCTGCAAATATGGGAAAAAGAGAGAAATGTGAAAGTTAATGAATGTTTGTATCTCTTAAGTTCTCATTGAATGTACAAGAATATGGCAAAAAATTCTCTCTGAAGACTGTTATCTGTCAGCCATGTGTGATTGAAATCAATCAATGGGTAGAACCTTTGAAGCCAGAATATCTTGGTCCTTTTTCAGTGTGGACAATAGATTCCATGTGTAAACATAAATAAACAATTCAGCTCTCTTGACTGGTTTGTTCACAGTTTTAAAATAGAAGTAATAATGTTATGAATATTGTTAGGGCTGTCTTAATGTTTGTAAGGCTTCCAAAGACAGGATGATATACACTATAACTAAAAAAAAATCATGGGTTAAATAACAATAATACATAATTCTGATAACATATTGTGCAATATCTGATTCTTGTTGTCAGGGGAAACAAAAGAAAGTATCTGCCATGATACTGTAAATACACAAACTCTAAATGATCTGAGGAATAGAGTGATATATGAAGGGAAGCAAAACAGAAATACTGAGAGGCGTATTTAGTAGGTCTTTAAGAACTAAAACCATATGGTGTTAGGTCATAGGTTGGACTGGATGATCTCAAAGTTGGATGATTTTCCAACCTAGTTAATTCTTTGATTCTGTGATATTCATCTATGTAATACTTCTGTTTGGATTTTTTAAAAGTCTACCTTATGATAATTTTATAAAGGACACGGGTGTAGTAATTAAAAAAATAAGGCGCTTTGTGAAACAGGAGTGTTGCACTTGTGTTGCCATTATGGAATCAGCAGAAGAAATCCAGTTGTTCGGAATGTGTAATTTTGAATGCTTTATGTACATGTTTTATGTGTTTTTGCAGAAGAGAAGTGACTCTTTGGTAAGATATTGCTGGTAGAATGTAACAGCTGTAGTGACACAGAAAGACTCGACTTCCTTGGGCAGGAGGGGAATCCTTTCAGTGATCTGTGGCGGGTTCTGCCACGGATTCCATCTCTGCCAAACTGCACGGCGCTCGTGCCTGGATGCTCAAGGCAATGCATTCTAACACTCACCCTTTGGTTCCCAGCTCTGAAAGCTGTGTGTTTTCACCCAGGAGCTGAAGGATCCTCACTGCAGGGACGAGATGGCCGCGGCGCGAGGGGCTCTGAAGAAGAACGCCACCATGCTGTACACGGCCTCGCAGGCCTTCCTGCGCCACCCCGACGTGGCAGCCACGAGGGCCAACAGGGACTACGTCTTCAAGCAAGTGCAGGAAGCCATTGCTGGCATCTCCAATGCTGCCCAGGCCACCTCGCCCACCGATGAGAACAAGGGCCACACTGGCATAGGAGAGCTCGCTGCTGCTTTGAATGAGTTTGATGTGAGTATCAGCAGGGCGTGGAAAATGAGGTGTTTCTCCACGCAGTCTACAGAGCTTTTAACTAAATTGTTCTTGTACAGGGCTCAAATTCCCCTTTTCATTCACATCCATTTCCTCAGACTGCAGAAGCAAAGGGCAGACATTGATTTGTGTTGGTTTTAGTGAGGAATAGTTATTTGCTGCTAATGGACTGGAATGACAAGGAGTTATTTGTGCTCAGATGCAGTGGCTGGGATAGTGAGAAAAATAAGTTCTTGTTATCCTTAGGATCCTTGACAAATCCCACTACATGGTTCTAGAAAATGCAAAGTCTGATTAATCTGGCAGTTTAGTTATGTGACCAAGATCTGGGCTTGCTTGAGTGCTAAAATCATGTCTGTCTAGCAAGTCAGGAAAACAAGACAAAAAAATGAAGATGGTGATGGAGTTCAGTGTCCTGGAAATATTAACATTCAACATGAATCATGAATTATGTTAATCAAACACATGGAAAAAGCATCTTCCAAGCAGAGTTGATAGCAGTCAGTTCAGCCGTGAGCAAAGTTGTGCAGCCTCTGTTCCAGCAATAGATACAGTTTTGCTTAAGCAACTTTCCTGACAGCTAATTTTTAGCTGTTAATTTCATTAGCAGTCCTGTCTGATGATTTCTCCTTGTCTCACATGTGAGGATTGTTCTTCAGGCAGTGAACAAAAAGGTTATTGGGGACAGTCTCTGACAATATTTTTGTCTTTCATTTTGACTTAAGGCAAAGATTTGTTGAAGTTATTATTGGGGAATGGTGTCCTTTTCACTTTGATTAAGACACAAGGTTGCAATCCCAGCATCTGTCACATGCAATCAGGAGCTGCTGCGTTTAGGGCTGGAGGAGGAGGTGTAGTGCAGGTGGTTCTCCCTGCACGTTGGCCTGGGCTTGTCTCCACCATCTATTCTTACATCTGTGGTTTTTCCTGCACAATTCCTGTGGGTTAAGATTTGAAGAATTCCTCAGGGTCTTCAAGGCCCTCTCACCTCGCAGCTCCCTGGTTGGTAAGATCTTGGGAATAACATCCCTGAGTGGTCTGATGATGCTCTGGCTTTTGTGTGTGACTTTGCACGTTATGGACAGCAAAGGTTTGACAAACAGGGCCAGAAAACACGTGACATCAGTCCCAAACTGATGATGCTGCTGCTGCCTTCTGGAAAAAAGGCTGCTGTTCAATGCAAAGAGAGTCGTTGTGCTTAGTCAAAATAAATGTAGTGAAGACTGTGCGAGACATCAGATATTGTCCCCTGCCTCTATGAGAATATTCATCCTTTTTCTCCTCAGGTAAAGTCTTTTCCACTTTCTGTGATGTTGCAGGAGCCATGCACGTGTGTGGGAGATGTGTAGCCATAGTAGTGTGCTCTGTTCATAATTACATGTGGAAAAACAGCCTTTTTGGGGAATTTTGTCTTTCTCATTTTAGGAAACTAAATGAAAACTTTGACTTATGATGATGCAGAGACTGAAAAAAAATTGTATTATTAATTTTCTAACTCACTGCTTAGCTGTTGAATGAGATTTATTCACACCTAATTTTGCAACAAAGATGACATTCCCTAACCTCCAGGGAAAGTCAAAATTTGTAGCTGGTGATGGTGGGATGATTGTGAATTTATGTTTTACAAGCAATATTACCAGTCTAGTAAAACTATGTAATGGGTAAAAAGGTGGTGAGAAAAAAACCTTGCTTTTATGATGGCAGTATTTTACTTCAGCAAGGGAAAGGAACTTTGTATTTTCTAATGAAAATAATTTTACAGAATATTTATTTTACCCGTCTCAGTCATATTAAGTGAGATCAGTTTGTATGTGGTATGAAGTTCTTACTAATCCCTGCATTATATGCCAAGATGATTGTTCTGTATTAAAAATAAGTTTGCAGATCTTTTCCATCATTTTTAGCACTTCTCAGCCTTCATTATTTCAAATTTCAGAATCAGTGTTCTGTGGCTGAGCACTTCAAAATAACTGCAGTGTGAATAATTTGAACATTTTCTCAGTCAAAATATCATCACATGGAATACAAATAATTCTACCTATTTGAAGCACTGCCATTGTGTTTAACTAGATCTTTTGATAATTGCCACACTCTACATTGAGGAGTTGTGTAAAGTCACTTGTGCATTATTAGCAGCAAAGTTTTGAAGATAGTTGTCATTTATTGCTTCTCAGAGATAATTTATGTAGAAATAAGGAGAGCTCACAAATCTGTTCCGTAGTAGATTTTTTCCTTTAAAGTCTTACTTGAAGTTGATTGATGGCAAAAGAATGTGTTTAATGCCTTGTTGCTTTGTCATTTAACTTCCATGTTGCTGCTTTAATCTTAGATCATTTAAAAACAGGTATTCCTGGTTTTACTAGTAATTTATTATTAAAATTTGGCATATATTTTGTGCTCACGAAATATTTCTGAGTTCTCAATGCAAATAGAGGTGCACAGTTTATTTTCCCCTCATGATATTTGGCAAAATTTATGGAAGTTGCGTAGATAAATTTTTGAAGAACTTAGTGTGAACTCTGAAAAGGCTCTGTTTTCACTTAGGAAATGGTAATTTTGATCTCATCTCTTCTGGTTATCGAGGGAAGGCTGTGTTGGCACATGTTAAATCGTGGGGTGGATTTTTCTGCTGTCCTCCCTGTAGCCCTCACGGTGTGCAGCAGAGACAGGACCTACACATCAAACTGGAGTGTGGTGGGGAGGTAGATAAAAAGAGATAAAAAGAGAATGAAACTATTGAGTGAGAAGAAATGCAATGAGATGGACCAGGAAACCGTGCTGGATGACAACTGAGATGAAGATAGATGGCATTGACACCGCTGTGCGTTCAGTAACTGCAAAGGGGGAAAAATAGATGGGGATGTAAAAATTTATATCTGGAAATAAAGAAAAGGAAATAAGTAATTTTGTCCAGGGAAGGGAATGGAGCTGGGAAGAGTCTGGAGCAGCTGAGGGAGCTGGGAAAGGGGCTCAGGCTGGAGAAAAGGGGGATCAGGGGGGTCCTTGTGGCTCTGCACAACTCCCTGACAGGAGGGGACAGCCGGGGAGTTCGGGCTCTGCTCCCAGGAAACAGGGACAGGACAAGGGGAAACAGCCTCAGGCTGTGCCAGGGAGGTTCAGATTGGATATCTGGCAGGTTTTCTTCACCCAAAGGGTTGTCCAGCCCTGGCACAGCTACCCAGGGCAGTGCTGGAGTCCCCAACCCTGGGGGAATTTAAAAGCCATGGGTATGTGGCATTTGGGGACAGGGGTTATTGGTGGCCTTGGCAGGGCTGGAGTTGGATTTGATGATCTGAGAGGGCTTTGCCAATCCAGACAATTCTGTAATTCCATGATTGTCTGTGCCACAGCAAGGGCTGCACACAGATTGTTGGGGAATGTGTTCTCCATGATGGACTAGAGAGGTGGCAGTGACAGGCAAAAATAGGATTTACTGGGCACTTGGGATCTCTGGTGAGTAGGAGGGTGCCTCCTCTCAGAATATGGACTGGGATTACAATTCCTGAGTCCCAAAGAGTGTAGCTGTGTCAGAGGGATGTGCTGACAACACCTCAGAAGTGCTAATCACAGTGGAAATTCAAATTCTAGGGGTTTCAGACTCTGTAACCTACAATGCTTTACATTTTAAGCAATTCTACATAATTTCCTTTAGATTTGGGTGTGAAAAACGAGGGTAATAATTCTTGTGCAATGCTGGGAGGGTGGGTGTAATGGTGTTGTAAATATAAAGCTGTTTACTAAGCATGCACATAACTCCATAGAAAGGATTATTCCTGTGTTTGAAGCAAGGCTTGAATTATCTGCAATAAAACTAAATAGAATTGATAAATCCTCTGACTTAAAGAGGGGAGGAGAAGCTATCTAAAGGAAAAAAGGACCAAAACCCCTTTTCTCCTGATGCCAAAACCAAATATCTGTTGTTTTCTGTATTGCTCCAGAAAGAACTGATGAGATGGCTTAGCTGACTTTTCTCCCTGTCTTTTCTGTTTGTGTGTGCAAATTCTGCCTCTAGCAATGGAAAAAAAATGATATTTTATTTGTTAAAAGAAATATATAGTGCTTAGTTTTAATATATGTTAATCCAAACAGGCAAGCCTTATAGCTGATGTTGCTTTATCTGATATTTTATAAGTTTTTATCTTCTTTTAATATAGGATTTATTGTTTCTTTGTAGTTTGTCTTTAAAGTTGCAGTCCAGCAGTGTTAGTCCCTGTTACATCTTGAACTGCTGAGCCTGTGGTTCAACCCTTTACTCTCTGATTTCTGAGTCTGAAAATAATCTGGTTTATAAAGGAATTTAATACAAGGGGAAGTGGTCAAAGCATCAAACCTGCCAGAGTTCAAGTAGCATTTGGACAACGCTCTCAGGCACAACTCTTGCTGTTGTCCTGGGAAGGGCCTGGAGTTGGACTGGTTAATCCTTGTGGGTCCCTTCCAACTCAGGCATGATTCTATGATTTGATAGGTGCAGAATTGAAAGAGGTAGTTACAATGATTTTTAGTACTTGAGGTATTCACGTATTCAGGATAGGTCCCAGGGTACTGAAATTGTACTATTTTTTGTCATGAGCAGCATTTGAACTGAGAAATTACAGGCAGAGTAACTCAATCTTTAATGAATTTTTGAACAGAGCAAATCAGCTGTTTGGGAGATGACTACATTTGATGGCATTGGTCACTGTCCTCCAGGCTGTTAAATGCAGCTCATTGTTAATAAATGGGCTATCACAACATATTTCGTGAATACATTAATGCTCCTTTAGGAATATTTTGCATGGCTAGAGAATGCTGTGCACCTTAAATGGAGTGAAAGATCTAGTAAGTGTGTAATGAGAGGAAAACATTACAGAGAAACTGAAATGACAAAGCATGTGAGTATGGCAATAGCAAATCTGCTTTTTTTTTTTTTTTTTTGGTAATAAAATTAAGAGCTGTCAAAACGTGGCAGAAACATAGCAGACAGAAGAAATGCTGTGTCA